TAATTATGTCTCTATTTTCCCTGTTTAATAGACTATTTCATTTTTTCATTTTGCATGCTAACAGTGTTAATTTACATTTTAGAAGCAGATGAATTTTATTAAGCCAAATAGCTTACTTGTTCTGATTTCGCCTAAGCTTAGACTCTGTGCTCGACAGTCTAGGGAATAGTTTAGAATTACACCTGTAAGAAATTATTTACAACAATTATTCCGCGAGGCAGTATAACTTCAGAGATTTTAAAGTCACAAATATTTTTAAAAGTCAGGATCTTAACTTCGAGTCTCCAAAGAAAGGTGAGGTGTTATATCCCAGTGAAGATTCAATCACCAGTAACTTCTGAGAACTAATAATGAAGTAATATTATATGTATTCCTATGGCATAACTGTTCGAGAACTAGACTGTGCATATCTATATCCTTATTATTATAAGTTTCATTTTGACTTATAGATTATTTTTATACGATTTACTGTCCCTAATTTGTGTTCGGTTTATTGATTATAGTCTCCCACCTTGACAGTCACATTTTGGCTTTATCTTATAATAATAATATATTTCTGCAAGGGCAGGTACACGCCATTTTTACAGGCATGATCTACAAGTCACAACATATACTGGCTCACAGTATGCATCCCAAGCATGATTGTTTAGTAAACATAATCTATAGAAGTTGATAGCATTTCATTCGTTCAGATACAATGTATTTTCATCAAAATATTTTCCAAAGGGGCATCGCGTCCACGTTATACACCAGATCAAATCTCGGCACAATTATGATGGGATTTTGGCCGTGCTAAGTGTTTATGCAATGCAAATTTTAAGTTTATAGTTGTTATAAAGTAGACTTGTGCAGCGCCTGGTGCGAATTATGACCTTGGGGAAGCGCGTTCGTCGAGCTTGTTCCAGACGCCAGAAGTTACATAGCCTCACCCTCAGAGCAAGATTCTGAAGAGAGAAAGAAAAAATAATTGTTATTTCCTACTTAATGATGTAACGCGACCTGTTTGGTTGGTATATATACAAAGTATAATTGAAATTAATGCTCCGTATAGTAGAAGCCGTGATTGGCGTTCTAGAATCAACTGGACGGGCTAGGCTAACAAAGGACCAATAAGGAATCTGGGCCGTTCAAATTGGTCGAACGTCATTGTTTGGTACAATACCAAGATTGAGTAAGTCGTATTTCGATTGGCGAATAAATTAAGTGACAACTAGCCGTGCGTAAAGTAACAAAGTTTACTGAACACAGAACATCTACAAACTCTCCGGTTTGCATGAGGAGAGCATTTACATCATTCGGAACTCATACGACGGACTACATTGCAAAGTCGTGCATGGAGGACAGTTGACAGATGCATTCCAACTAAAAACCGGAGTCACACAGGGCTGCCCACTCCCACCTTCCTCTTCCTTATGGTATTTGACTAGATTATGAAGACCTCGACATCTAGGGGGAAGCACAGCATAAAATGGACTCGTCGGATGCAACTAGACGATTTGAACTTCACAGATGACCCGGCTCTTCTATCTCACACACACCGACGAGTGCAGATGAAGACAACCAGTGTAGCAACATCCTGTGTATCAGTAAACTTCAACGTACACAAAGAAAGAAGCAAGATCATTAAAAACAACGTGGAGAACACCAATCAAATCTAACTTGATGGGAAATCTCTGGAACAGGTGGAATGTCCCACGTACCAGGGAAATACCATCCACGAATGTGGAGGATGTGATGGAGACGTAAAGGCGAGGATTGACAAAGCAAGGGCTGCATTCCTACAGTTCGAAAACATATGGAACTCAAAACAACTGTCAACCAATATCAAAGTCAGAATCTTCAGTACGAACGTCAAGACAGCCATAGTGTACGGAGCTGAGAACTACCACAACCGTTATTGAGAAGGTACAAGTATTTATAAACGGATGTCTTCGCAAGATAATCAGTGTCCGTTGACCGAATACCATTAGTAACAGCCTACTGTAGGAGAGGACAAACCAGCTTCCTGTTCAAGAGAAAATTATGGAAAAGCCATTGTAAAATCTATTTTGGAGATTTTGTGTGTGAAAATCCCTCCACGCATACATTTGCAACTTGTTTTTATTGGTTTATTTAGTTGTATATTTTGTAAGTCTTTCTGATTCCATTTGAGATGATAGTATTTTATCTATTATAGTTTTCTCATTCTTCTTTTGCCTTCACCGTGTTTCTATGTTTTTTTCCTGAACTGTATTTATATTGTTTTGGTTGATATTTAGTCGTGGCGGCAGCCATATTGACTTGTTCCCTCTTTGAATGTGTTGCCTGAGTTGACTGGGATTGTGCATTCTGATTGTGAGTCGAAGCACTTTTCCAGAATCGGAAACACTTTGTGTTATAAAGCAACAATCTATTATCTTTTGAACGGATTTTTACTTGATCGATCCAGAAAGGATAGAATAACACTTACTTTTTGGTGCGTCCGGTAATTTTCTTACATACCTTATCAATTTGCCTAGTTATTGTAATTTAGATCGACTATTGAGGGAACAATTATTGGTTGAATAACTGAGCGGTAATATTTGCTTACATAATAATGTATATTTGTATTTATAATGAAATGTAGAACCGTCATTTTCCCAATCCCATTGTTTTGATTTCGATTGGGGAATATCGAGCATCTAAACTACGCATACAGTTATTCCTCAGTCAAACCTTAGTTTGGATTTTACAGCCATGACCTTCAGATTCATAAGCATGCGCGATACAACCCTTCGGATTTTCCGTGTGATATATTATCACGCCGAAACATTGTGCGCAAGAATGCCAGCAAAGCCTCGGGCGGTACAAAATGTTTTGACGAGTTGCTCTAAAACACTTAGTGTCAGCAGGTGGTTGACAGTCTTTCACATAGACCAATTAAGGCTTCTGTGGTGAGAGAAGTCGTAGTACATTGATTTACAATAGCTTCACCAATAAACAGTATTTACAATCACACTTCTTTTCATGAAGCGTGCTGACATCTTTACCGGGTATTCAAATTTTACCAATACTATTTATATTCTTTTGTATGCCAATTTATTCCCCTGTTCTATGGATAGGAAAACTTTATGGAAACGTTTTAGATATTACAGAGTACCCGAGAAAGTCATCAACACCATACGGGATTCATGCAACGGACCACACTGACAAGTCGTGAATGGAGGACAGGTGACAGCTGCATTCCAACTGAAGATTTGTAGAATTACTACAACTATCATCGAAAAGATAGGAGTATTTATAAGCAGATGTTTTCGCAAGATAATCAGTGTCCGTTGACCGAATACTACCAGCAACGGCCTACTGTTGGAGAGGATAAACCAGCTTTCAGTTGAAGAAAAAATTTGAAAAGACATTGGAAATGGATAGGACATACCTTATGGAAATCATCAAACTGCATCTCGAGGAGAGCGGATTAACTGGAAATCGTGAAGAGAAACTGAAATAAGGAAGGCCAAATAATACACTGCGTCGAGAATTGGAAGCAGATATGAAAAGGATGAATAGGAACAGAGACTAATTTCCCAGGACAGAGTTGGATAGAGAATCCTGGTGGGTGACACATGCTCATTCTCAAGGGATAATATGTGTAAGCAAGGTTTACGTAACTCAATCCTTAGTCCTTATTTCGGAGTGCCTAACGTGATGGTGATTATACAACACATTATTTTGTGATAGATCAAACAACCAGTGTTCTAGAGGATCTCTGTTTAGGAAGAGGTTTCAGATGACAATATTGTTCCACATTGTATATCCATATTGTCTTCATATTCTTATTAACGGGTTCGACTTATCGTCTGTGATATTGAGACTGCGGATTTTTCGTATTTGCGTGCAGAGAAATACAACGAAGTAACACTATTTATCCATAGAAAGTTAACGACTAGTGCCTGATAGGGATTTAAACCAATCTCTGGAGAGTTTCACAGGTTTTTCATTCATTTACAACATCAAGAGTGTGGTTTCTCGGTTAGATTTCAAATTCAGGTGTCAATTTAACCATGGGTTAGGAGTTAAAAAGTGTCTGTAGAGTATGATGTAGAACGTGTTTATTGCTAGACTATCGCAGTGATCGATGACTTTGTTATGAAATGGTGAAACTCATTACAGCTAAGGAATTTTTGTGATTGATTGATCCGATGTCGAGATCAAACAAATTGATCCGGTGAGTTTTTCTCAAGACAAGAATATCCTGCGCTTGCTGAGTCATTTTAGAAAGAAAGTGATCAAAAAGGCTCATATCGAATGCTCGTTGACCAACAACCTCCTTTATTCTTGACGACTTTACTGTAGACAAACTTTGTCTAGACACGATATTACGGAACATTTCATCTGACTACTGTCAGGCCATTAGATTACCTCCTTTTATGATAGCCCTAATAAGTTTTTTTTAACCGCTCATGAATATTGATAATAAATAGATTGTTACATACCTTCTCAGCTAGAGTGACTATAATATCACTTCCCTGAGCAGCTGAGTACCTGGATCAGTCATGTTATTTTTTCACAACTCAAACTGTGGGAAATAAAACCATACATTGATGCTTCATGAAGAAGCTGCAAGGTGTAGGTTCCGAAGATCTAATATAAAACTAATTTAGGGATATGTTCATTAATGATGAGGTTACTAAATTACATAAAAGCATAAAGTACCAGAATAAGTAGGGTATACATAAACACATACGAACCAAAACAAAGAAAAACTTCACAGAACTATCCTAAAATACCACATAACGACGTAATCACCATTATAGATACATCGAATGGAACAATAGAACAATACTATAACTTTGGGCATGCCACTTTACGTTCTTACAGGACAACCTGTCTCAATAAAACAATTGAACAATTTAACCCCTTCCGCTTAGCCTATTTTACCATCATGAGTGTAATTAAAATCACTCAAACAAATCTTATCTTGGCTTAAGTTGTTGGAGTTTGAGTGACCTTGTCGTTTTTGATCGGAAGTTGGACGCGGCACTATGGCTGTCGGTTGCCTTTTAATTCTTTAAATGAGGTCTTTTTCATTACAGGACGACATTTTAGACTTTGAAAGTAAAAAAAAGAAGAAAGCAAAGCCCCTTGTGCAGGATTTTAAAGATGAAACAGACAATCTGGCGAACCAAGATATTCTAGACTTTGGTTCAAAGAAGAAGAAAAAAGATAAACTCTTAAGCTTGGATGACGTGGGTAACAAAGAGGACGTAAGTAGTATTCCTATATATTTCAGTTCACAGTTAAATCAGGAACCAGAATTTCATAAGAAGGACCCAACAGAAAACGGCGTTAAGCAACTTACTGAAAAGCTAGCGGATGAGCTTAATTTCTCAGATAAAAAGAAAAAAAGGAAATTCAAACCGATTGAAGTAGATGAAAATGGAGTTTGCGAGCTGAACAATACATCTGAACTTATCGTGAGGGATTCATCTGGATATGATTATGAAACGGTAAGTGTCTACGTCTATCTTCTTGATAATCTGAATATGAGTTTTGGGCTTTATGGAAATTGTATCGACTCATCTTATGTCTTTCCACAAAGTGGTAGCCTTTAATTGCTCGAAAAAGTAGTCCGAACGTCAGCTTTTCTCTATAAGTTCACTCGCTGTATGTGGTAGATCAGTAGTTTATTATAAAACCCCGTTTGCAACTGGCTAGTAATGATAACCTTGATATGACCATCTTGCTTCAGACGGTCACCTAGTACGTCTCTGTCGTGGCATATAGACCATGATAGTATTTAGCTTCACGGTTTGTTGTGATTCGTAGGGTGCAAATCCCTCGGGATATTAAGTTTGGACAACTGTCCCACTTGCAAAACATTTGCGATTGCTTGGCGATTCGTGTCGACGGAAAATTCATAGTACAGGAGCTGTAACGAATGACTGTTAAGCAACATTAAGTAATAATAACGAATCTTTGTATCCCTAAAGTGGTGAAGCGGACAGTTTTAACGGGTTGGTCGGCTGAAGCTATGGCATAGAAGTGTAGCAATTGATGTGTAAACATCTGGTGAAAGTTAGCGAAAAAGGTAACGGATCTACGCGCATTCTTCTAGGGTACGATTTGAGTTTTAATCACACTGCTAAGTTACCTAGACGATTGTTAACAAAGATACATTTACCCAGGGACGGAACATGACTCTTAACGCATTCTATAAGACCATTCCAATTACGCTAACATGTGCTCCACACTTTTAATGCTTGAAGTTTCTAGTGTGCATTTTATTTACATCCCAGACAATAGACCTCAATGGTGATTGTTTGGATTTGTTGATATTATTCTCTGTATCTCAGACCTTCTTAGCAGGGTTTAGTTTGTTTCGTCCTATTTTAAACGGCTGACGTGTTACATTGGTTTGTCTTAACACGACTAGACTATTTCGCACCTTTCTGGAATATCCGTTTGATGGAAACCGAATGGTATTGATCCACTATATTTTCCATATCAGAAACAGCTTGTGATATTCGCAGTTCAACTGGCCTGATGCTCCGGCAACGTCAACCAGTTTGTCCTGCCCCCCATGGCCGGTGACGAGTGATCCATCAAACGAGCCGGAAATCCGCAAGGAACTCCAACTCTTGAAACGCTACAAATCACCTGGCCCAGATGACTTACCTCCAGCTCTTTTGAAAGATGGTGGTGACCTGACTAAGGAATTGACTGTGTTGTTTGGAAAGGTTTGGGAACAAAAAAGTGTTCCAACATCTTGGAATGAGTCGATAGTCGTCCCTATCTTTAAAAAGGGTTCACGTTGTTCCTGCAATAACTATCGGGGGATAAGTCTTCTTCCGATTGCGTCCAAACTATTGGCTTCTGTCATTCTTCGTAGGTTGTTTAAAACCCGAGAACGATTGACTCGCGAGGAGCAGGCTGGTTTTCGTTCTGGTCGACGATGCATTGATCATATCTTCACCCACCGCCAAATGTTAGGACACGGTCATACTTATCGCAGGCCAACAATCGTAGTGTTTCTTGATATCAGGGCTGCCTTCGATTCGTTGGACAGGACTGTCCTCTGGAATTGTCTATTGAAGAAGGGTGTGCCTGAAAAGTTCATTAACATCTTAAAGGCCCTGTATACGAACACCTCAGGCAGAGTGAGGGCATACAACCACCTTTCTCCCTTGTTCCATTCGAGCAGTGGGGTTAGGCAGGGTTGCCTCATCCAACCATTCCTCTCCAACTTTGTCATCGATGACATTCTGGAAACAGCTCTGATGGATGTAAGTAATGGTGGTGTGGATCTGCTGCCTGGAGAACGACTTCTCGACCTTGAGTATGCGGATGATATTGTCTTACTGTGCGATAATGCCCAAGGCATGCAATCAGCACTTAATCAGTTGGCAGTCAGTGTCCGCAAGTACGGCATGTGCTTTGCACCCTCCAAGTGCAAAGTACTACAAGACTGGCAGGATTCTCATCCTGTACTCACCCTGGATGGTGAGCAGATTGAAGTAGTTGAGAAGTTCGTGTATCTAGGTAGCTACATAAGTGCTGGTGGTGGCGTGAGTGATAAGATTGATGCACGTATAAGGAAAGCCAGAGAGGCTTATGCCAATCTGGGCCATCTTTGGCGCCTTCGTGATGTTAGTCTGGCTGTAAAAGGTCGGATCTACAACGCGTCGGCGAGAGCAGTTTTGCTCTATGCTTGTGAAACCTGGCCTCTCCGAGTTGAGGATGTTAGACGTCTCTCTGTGTTCGATCATTGTTGTCTCCGAAGGGTTGCTGACATCCAGAGGCAACACCATGTTAGTAATGCAGAGGTTCGGCATCGTGTGTTCGGGCGCAGAGACGACAACATAATTGGTTTCACCATCGTGAAACATCGACTTCGTCGGCTTGGACCTGTTTTACGAATGTCGTCCCAGAGACTTTCACGTCGTGCATCATTTGCGGACTCTGGGACTGGTTGGAAAAAGCGGAAAGGCGGTCAGTGTATGACATGGTGTGGTGTGAAAGAAAGCTGCAAAGGGCTAGCTTCTGTTGGTCCTTCAGTCAATCACAGCGTAGAACTTCGTACGTACGTTTATTTATTATTATTTACTTAAACACATATATATTGGTACAAAAGGGCACCAGGTACATATGCGCCACACAAAATAATGAAAGTAGGAAGAGAAGGGATGAAAAGATAAGGCGGACTAAAATGTACAACCAGAAGACTCTTTCAAATAGGAAAGTAAGAACCATACTTTATGTAGAAAGTAAAAGAAGGTTGCAGCAGGATCGCCACTGGTTTCTATTCTGAGCCATATCTGATAACGTCTCTAGCCACTGTGTTGCACCATCTCTCGGACCCCAACCAAGGAGTCGTGAAGGACCAACAGAAGCTAGCCCTTTGCAGCTCTCTTTCATGCCACGACACCATGTCATACACTGACCTCCTCTCCGCTTTTTCCAACCAGTCCCAGGGTCGGCAAATAATGCACGACGTGGAAGTCTCTGGGACGACATTCGTAAAACATGTCCAAGCCACCGAAGTCGGTGTTTCAAGATGGTGACACCAATTGAATTATCGTCTCTGTGCCCGAACACACGATGCCGAACCTCTGCATTACTAACATGGTGTTGCCACTGCATGTCAGCAATCCTTCGGAGACAACGATGATCGAACACAGAGAGACGTCTAACATCCTCAACTCGGAGAGGCCAGGTTTCACAAGCATAGAGCAAAACTGCTCTCACCGACGCGTTGTAAATCCGACTTTTTACAGCCAGACTAACATCACGAAGGCGCCAAAGATGGCCCAGATTGGCATAAGCCTCTCTGGCTTTCCTTATACGTGCATCAATCTCATCACTCACGCCACCACCAGCACTTATATAGCTACCTAGATACACGAACTTCTCAACTACTTCGATCTCCTCACCATCCAGGGTGAGTACAGGATGAGAATCCTGCCAGTCTTGTAGGAGTACCTTGCACTTGGAGGGTGCAAAGCACATACCGTACCTGCGGACACTGATTGCCAACTGATTAAGTGCTGATTGCATGCCTTGGGCATTATCGCACAGTAAGACAATATCATCCGCATACTCAAGGTCGAGAAGTCGTTCTCCAGGCAACATATCCACACCGCCATTACTTACATCCATCAGAGCTGTTTCCAAGATGTCGTCGATGGCAAAGTTGAAGAGGAATGGTGAGATCGGGCAACCCTGCCTAACCCCACTGCTCGAATGGAACAAGGGAGAAAGGTGGTTGTATGCCCTCACTCTGCCTGAGGTGTTCGTGTACAGGGCCTTTAAGATGTTAATGAACTTCTCAGGCACACCCTTCTTCAATATACAATCCCAGAGAACAGTCCTGTCCAACGAATCGAAGGCAGCCCTGATATCAAGAAACACTACGATTGTTGGCCTGCGATAAGTATGACGGTGTTCTAACATTTGGCGGAGGGTGAAGATGTGATCAATGCATCCTCGACCAGAACGAAAACCAGCCTGCTCCTCGCGAGTCAATCGTTCTCGGGTTTTCAACAACCTACGAAGAATGATAGAAGCCAATAGTTTGGACGCAATCGGAAGTAGACTTATCCCCCGATAGTTATTGCAGGAACAACGCGAACCCTTTTTAAAGATAGGGACGACTATTGACTCATTCCATGATGTTGGAACACTTTCTTGCTCCCAAACCTTTCCAAACAACACAGTCAATTCCTTAGTCAGAAAGTCGCCACCATCTTTAAAAAGAGCTGGAGGTAAGTCATCTGGGCCAGGTGATTTGTAGCGTTTCAAGAGTTGGAGTTCCTTGAGGACTTCCGCCTCGTTTGGTGGATCAGTCGCCACCGGCCATGGGGGGCAGGACAAACTGGTTGATGTTGCCGGAGCAGCAGGCCAGTTGAACTGCCCTTCGAAAAATTCCGCCCATCGTCCAAGACGTCGGGAGATGTTAGTGATTGGCATCCCATCATCCTCGTAGATTGTTTCACTCACACCAGACTTCTTGCTGCCAGTGGCTCGGATGAGTTGGAAGAGCTTCCGGCAGTTACCAGATGCAGCTGCTGCTTCCATCTCATTAGCACGCTCTGACCACCAGGCTTCCCGGTCCTTACGCAAGCTTTGCCCAATTTCATTACGTAACAGCCTTCGTTTGTGGTCAAACTCACGGTCACCCGGAGTAGACCGACGGGCTTCCATCAGTTGTAAGGAGCCAGAAGAGACCCAGTGCTTGTAAGCGGGACGTTTCGCGAAGCTGCAAGCGGCTTTACTCGCCATTTTCATGGCGTCGTGAAGATGCAACCAATGCTCATCTATACTTTTCGGTGGGGTGTTAGCTAGCCTAGAGGCTAGCTCATCTCGATACTTACTTGCAACAGGAGTTGCAGCCAGTTTACTAATATCAATCCGTTGGTGGTGGTCAATCCTTCGGCCACTGAAAAGTAAGGTGAGATTGGCGCAGACCAGGGCATGATCAGACTCCAGATAGGTACTCCAAAAGGAGCGG